TCTCTATCTTCAATATTGGTATAAATTCTTCATTAAAAATACACACAGCAATATATATTGCAATTTCAATGATCTGAGAGCCGGAATGGATATACTTTGGAGCGAAAGTCCATATCGACGAGTTTAGAGACTCATTAATATTTTGAGTTTCTTAACCCAAACATCGAATCAATAGCTCTTCTGATGATAAACTTCGAAGGATTTGTCAACGCATGGACATGATGGAATGTAGCGTAGACTATTGCAACTGCATTGTAATGCAATTTTGAACCCGAATCCGCGTAGAGCCGTTCTTGAAAATGTAATATCGTTTTTGCATGCAGTACACGAAATAAACAAAAAAATTGCTGTTAAGACCGTGAAAACCTCCAAAACTCAGTAGCCTTAATTTTTATCTATAATTAATTCTTCATCATTTGATTTTCTCAACTGTGCTGCTGATGCACTCGCAAAACTGTTGTTTCCTGTTCCGCAAATCAATTGCCGTGAAATATATGTACATATATATATGCAAAAATATATATAGATAGATAGATATAACAAAACAAAAGGGCTTTCTAAGAAATATAGATTCAGGTAGTCTGAGAACTCATTATGTCTTCTGTTTGATTAGTTGCAGCCCAACCGATTTGGATGCCTGTTCAGCAAAATATTTATATCTCCAAAACTAATTTGAATTTTGGAAAATCCTCTCGTAGACATATTTTTGAATAGTTAAACTATGAAAATATGCAAAAATATTTCCGAAAATTTTATTTTCTAGACCAGAATATCCCCATAATGTGGCATTAACTGTAATTAGTAAAATAGCTACAAATCTCAAAACCACTGAACATATTTGAACTGAAAGAACTATGTCTCAGCAGTAAAATCTAGAAGCCAGTTATCTGTTGTCAGTTATACAGGCAGTAAGGAAGTACACTTGTATAATTTCAGTAATAATAACCTTTTTATGACCTAAAAGTTAGAATTTTCCCCGATCATCATTACAGACGTCTAGATTACTTTTCTAGACGTCTTGGAATGAATGAATTTGTATGTTGATGGGACCACTTGCACTTCAGTTCTGTCAAGCATTTGAGACAAATTCATGAAACTGGGACCTTCAAAATTTATGGTCAGATGACATGTGCTTCCTTTGTCACATTTGTCTTACTAATTAATAATCACATGCAAAAAAATCAATACACCTTAACACTCAGTATAGAATTTCACTGAATTTAATAGGGAAATCTATGGATGCCTCGTATGTCAACAATTTGCCCTTCAGTAGTCAATATGAAATAATTCTAAAGCTCTCAAATGCCTTTAATTTTGGTGTGTGCGATTACACTGATCGCCATAAAGGGTCAAAAATAGATAAAAGGCGATTTATGCATTTACAAGCATTTAGCAATTCACAAGAAACCGGCATGGTAAATAAAACGCATTGAAGTCTTCATCAAGTGTTTGCTGTAAGTATGCGCCTTGGCATTTAACAAATAACGAGAACTGTTCTTAAACGGATTGTTAATGCATTGAACCTAATCAAAATAAAAAATATTAAATTTTTTGCAAAAGTATTGGGGCTTCATTTACAGTGATTCAAAAGGCATTCAGCAGCACCTGTTCAAGCAAAGTCGCCGAATAAAAAGATGAATCACTCAAGCTTCTTTGCACAAATCAAGAAGTAAAATTGTTAGAAAAACTAAATCACTTTCAAATAAACCTTTTATAAATTTATATTACAAAGAAACTTTTTTATTTGTGGCACTTTTCAATTATCAATTCCTTTCTTCTAACTAAAATTCAAGCTTCCTAAATTTGAAAAATCAGTATAGATATTTCAAATTTTAAGGCGTGAACTAGAAAAGAAGTTTTATAACAAGACTAATTACAATGTGCTTTAGATTAAAGAAATGAAAGAAGGTTATTTTAAGTAATTTAATAAATCACGATCTGAAAATGAAAAACAGTTAATACCGCATAGTGAGTTAAATTAATAAAAGTATAAATCACACTCCAGCTCACAACAATTCAATATTTCTAAGGATCGAAAATTGTTTTTTTTGTTTTAGGTATTGATTATACTACGTTATTGAATAGCCTTTTATTGTGAACGAGAATTCGTTTTTCAGATTAAATTTTATAGTTATTGATATTGCCAACAAAAATATTGCTTAAATGTTTTTGATAAGAAGCTATTTATTATTAACTTGAAAATATTCAAATAAAGTAATTGAACGTTTTAAAATGGCAATTGGTCAAAATATTAAATGTAACAATTTCAAGCAAAAATTGTCACCAATGTTGATTTTGACCTTTAAGAATTAAAAGGCAAACGTCAAATTTATTTTGGTGGAAAAAAAATAATTATTCAACCTGACAATGTGTGACTAGCCACTAAAACCACGAATGGCCTTTCGTAGAATTCAGGAATAAAATAGGAGGAATCTTTAACTCACTGCTTTGTAGATTATCACCTTTTAAGACTCATGGATCATAAGCCATATCAAAAGTGATTTCAAAGTGCTAGTGGGTGCACTTTAGCTCAAATGCAGTATTTCTTTAAAAGAAAGAATCGTACAACTAATTTCTATTTAAAGTTTCTATTTTTTAAACATTTTCCGATTGTTTGGCTTCTTATGGATAGCTCAATATTTGCTAGGGTAGAACAGTTGATCTCCATCTTTTTAATTAAGAAGATTAGCAATCTTTGCTCGATTTAAATCACCGTTCAAGTCGTTGAAATTTCTCGTCAGCCGCTGATTCACCAATTACTTCCATATGAAAATACTTTTTACAACTTTTGATTTTCGCATACCTACAGTAGCATCTCATTTCGTGCAAGTTGTATTGATGTGCATCGTTTTTTAATAATTGAACATTATTACTTACATCATAAATCCTGATTGAGTCCCTAAATCTCATCATACTTGAAAGCAATGAAAATACTCTTGGATTAATAAAGAAAGGAAAAATACTGTTTCATAAGCAAAGATTTCCATTCCATTTGAAACAAATTGTTTCAACATATGACGTTTCCGTCTAGTAATTAGTGTTTTTTTGCTATAATTAGTTATATACATCAATAAAAAGGACGAATATTTTGGTTCAGAGGAACTAAAGTGGATTGTTGCAGTAAGAATAAAATAGGTATACTCAAATGAGAATGAAGAAATTGAATATTATAACGCACTATTTCAACATGATTTCCTTTTGCTACCATGGACAGCTAATCCATTGAATCATTATCACATTTAAAGTATAAACAACTTCATGATATACATTATTTTTGTCAAACTATCAATAGACTTACCAATAAAATCAATTGCTTATTATTGCAGCATTAAATATTTGCTTAAAAACATGCTTCTATTTGCTACATAATTTTCAGATGTACTTAACGAATGCCATTTTGATTGTTGACATCTCCATACGTTATAAATCTTACAAAATCGCATTTTAATGATTTAAACTTGCATAAATGTACTTACTTATTATTTATATAAAATAATTAAATTTATAGTTAAATAATTTAAAAATAACAGGGTATTTTGGAAATAGTAGCTAAAGTAAATTAATTTATTGTTATTTTTTTGGAAGGTATGCTAATTGACCGTAATGATCTTTCACAAAATATACCCAAGAAGACTCCGTTTATTCTCACTTTCAAATCGCGTGTGTAGATGGCACATGAATACCATTTATTCATCCCTGGATAAGGCTTGGCCAAATTCTTTTAAAAAGTGCCTATTTCACACAGGCCACTTATAATAATTCACTTAAATTTGCCCCAATTTCGTGAACAGCCACTATTGAATTTTCTGTGCTTTTTGACTAATCAACTATTTGATCTAGTGAAATACCACAAATGGGAACTATTTACCAACTCAAGCGAATCTTCATAATGTTCAAAACAATGTGCAAAGGGTGTGTTTAAAATGATCGAGAGCAATCCCTATAATCTTTCGTTACAATTTTATTAGTTCTGGATTAAAATTGGCAACTTTTTTGGAACAATCTGAAAAAAATATTCCCTCTGGGTAGTCACAAATTTGCTATTTGTTACCATTTCCATAAATGAGGCACCCTAATGAATATTATTCATTGCGCTCTTGCAATCCAAGTCTTATCTTCGTAGGTATGTAAAAATGGATTATTTTGGCAAATAATTAATATATATTTGTGGATTATTTAAAGTGAAAATAATGTATCCCAATTCAGCATAGATTTAATAAAAAAGTTTAATGACCATTTTTTATTTTAACCCGGAACGCGTAATAACGTCATGGTCTCTTGGGAAGAACAGTTTGCTTTAATATCCAAATCTAAAACTATATCTATAGAAAACATAGTAGTTGAAAGTGCGTTTGTCACTGACATGTATTCAGAAAGACCTCCAACAAGTTTAACAATTGGGAAATAAATTTCACTTATTACTAGAAATCATAATATTTGGCTTTCCGAAATGTAGCTCAACTTTTCCTCTTGACAGGCTGGTATCATTAAAGCGTTAAGACTGCTGAAATAATTAATTAAGTTTAGCTTAAATTGGATCTTCGCATAGTCGCAAGTAGTTCAGAAAGTTAAGGGTAAAAATAAAGTATAAAATGTAATTTTAATGAAAATCTAGATTCAATAACGGTGCTATAAATTTAAAGTCGTAAGGTGAGCCTCGGCAATACCAAAAGATCACTTCGTTTTGTAACAAATAGAAATACGTTAAAATTTATGGTCTCTTCTCATTGGTTGCTCCCTTTTAGCCAAACGGCAATGCATATTTGGAAACTAGAATGACTTAAATTGCCCCTAATCAAGATCAATTTAACCCAAGACTATTCAAAATGAACACGACAAAAAATATCTCGTCTTCTCAAGACCTTTGCTCACTAACTCTGTGTGAATTCGCTATCTACTTTTACATTCAGCCGAGTATATGTTTAATTGGGTTTTTAATAAATGTCATCAATTGTCAAGTTTTCAGAAAATCGGTTTTCGTTGGCCCTGCTTACAAGCTGATGATTGCCCTTTCTGCAACTGATGCATTGACGCTAATTATAACTTTTCCACTAGGATTCCAGAGGTATGTTTACTTGACTATTTTCATCTTCTATTGTTATCACAAATATGAAGTGATATTTATTCTGATATTTTAGTTTTCTGTGATTATTGCTTCCTGAGTTATAGGAAAGTTGACAACTCGTTTGCTGTTTTGAAATTTTCCAACCATTTGTTATAATACCTTAACTTCAATTTTACTGATTCTTTGGAGAAAAATATTTCGTTTTAATTTCTGCGGTTACATCATTGTTTTATTTAAGGTATTAGAATTCATGCCATTTATTTAATTTTACTATTTCGTTAATGTAACCTAATGCTTTGCATGTATATCCTATATATCTTTGTGGAAAGTCACAGTTTTGAATCGCTCATAGATAATTAAGAAATAATTAAAAGGTACGAGGTAATAAAATTTTAACAATTAAAAATATCTCAGCATTGAAGAATATGTGTTATAAATTATACGATTTTATGCTCATTAACCTTAATGCTTGCCTTCGAAGATTGAAAATTAATGAATATTTGGTGAAATAATATTAATATATATATATATATATATATATATATTTGATGGTTATATTGATGAAATTTGTTAAAATTAAGGTAAATCTATTTTGTAACTTGAAAAGAAATATGTAAATAAATAACTCATTTATTGCCGGAGCATTGGAATTTTAATGAGAATATTTATAACTCTTTAAGATCATAATAATCACAAATCGGAAAGTCTCACCAATATTTTAGTTGGTCCTCTACATTAATTAGTTTGATAGACAGTTGATATTAGTGGTAATAATCATTAAATTTTCAAATCGATATACCAAAGTGTCCATTGTTCCAGATATGTTAAATTAATATTTAACTTTTTTAAACAGTACATATTATGAAATTGTAAAATAACCGCAAATGTAGAATCAGTCTTAATGCTAAACTCAACATTGGACTACAAGCTGCATGAACGAACGTAGTCTGAAATTTCCGTTGAATATTTGTAAGCCTGAAGAGAAGAAGGTTAGTCACGCCTCCTCCACTCTTGATTTTGCCTTGGAAAAATGAAGTCAATTCAAAGATATGATTTTCAAGGTCAATTATAACTGAGAGGATTATCGAAATTAACAAATAGTCACAATCAGGATTACTAATAGAAATAAAGTTTCCTTCGATCCAACTTGAAATCACCATAAATTTTCCAAAACCAATGCGCTTATCATTAATATAAATTATATAAAGATAGTTGCTCGTAAATTGAATTTGTTTCTATAAATAAATTTACACATGAGTAATAAATAAACTAATGCATTAAGGCATTAAAATTAATTTTTGAGGTTAAATTTTGGTCCAAATTCGAATACATGGGGTATAGAATTCTAAAAAAGGGGTTTTTTAGTGAAAACAAAGAGAAGAAATTGAAAGGTGAATTTTGTTACACTCTCAACAAATATCCACTATATCAAGTAAATGAGTTTTTCGGAAAATATATGTTACGTACAGCGGGAAAATTGTCACATTTTGCCAGAATGACATTAATTAAGTTGATATACTTAAAATAATGTTGTCTTCCTTCGCAGGCCAGTGTGTTCCACAAACCATCTTAACAAAATACTTAAAAGTGAGTGACAATTGACAAAAATATTCAGATTATTAGGTAGATAAATAAAATTTGCATTTGAACATGACTATGGAAATAAATATTTAGTGATTTAAGAGCAATTTCCGGCATCTGAAAAAATTTATTTATTTATTTCGAATGGCAGGCATTTTGATAGTTATCAATAGCCCATAGCTGACTTCGAACTTCACAGAGGGGAGAAACATCAAAGTTAGAAAAATTCAAGAGGGTAGACCGAAGAGTGATTTGCAAATGTAAAAGAGACAGACACAATGATAGAGAGTAGGGTAAAGGGAGCACTGTAGAAATGGTCGACTATGACAAACAGTGGCGTGATGGTAGTTTGGAGTCTGAAGTCAACTGCCGGTAAATAGACTTTTTTGCCGTATGAGTATACGTTGCCCGGGGTGCACTACGTGGAGGTAAATCTATCGCACACCCCGCACCTGAAAAGATCGAACTCTCATTAAAGTCCGTTTGCGATCTTGGAAAGTTTATAGCCATGAAAAAAAAACTGTTCAATGTCGTAAAAAAGAATGTCAGGTGATCATTATTTTGCAAATGCTATCCAAAATTCATTTTGAAAGTTCAAATTTAATTAACATCATTGCCAACTCATTTAATGAAAATATTTGGGGTCATCTTATAAATCGACTTTCGAATTAAGTTATTTACTAAATTAAAAATTAAACGTGTTACATTATTGACTATTGCGTATTCAGGTATATCGTGATTTTTTTCTAGATGCAAAGGATTTCTCAAAGTTTGCCCGAAACCTTGGTTCAAGACTCTTCGACTCTGGATATCTTACTACACCACTTACTTTCATTTTCCCATCTCAAATTCATCTGAAACTGCCAGCATTCTCCTAACGCTCTTCCTTTCTATCGAACGGTATGTTGCTATGCACAAGTTGAGTTGCAAAAAAATTTGGCGACCTCGAGTCAACTTAAAGAAGCTACTCTGTTGTTCGCGAAAGTTGGGTCTTCAAACATATGAAAGTAGTTCCAATAGCTGTTGCCTGGTAAACAGATTGTGCAGATCCGTCTTTTCTGTACTGCGCCTGATATTTGCCCCATTAGAGCACAATGTATTCAAGACGATAACAAGAATTTTCGTCCTCAGTTTTGTCATAAATTTACCCTTGTTTTTTCTGTCAGAAAATAACCATGACATATCCAACATCAAATGGAACGAGGAAGAATAATGATTTTAATATAAAGTGGAAATTAGATTTCACTGAGTTTGGTAAATCACAAACATATTCCGTATATACATGGCTACGCTCCATATTTGTGTACATTATTCCGCTTCTACTCCTGTGCATTTTCAACTTCTATCTTGTGAAATTCGTCCGAACAGCCAATTCGCGTTGGAGATTATCAAAGCGAAATCCAAAGCCACCCACATTTTCCCCGGATGCAGTGCCCGAATCGACGGTTTTTAAGACTGGAATTGGAGTCATTAGTGGAGCTTCTTTCCGCAGAAACGAACGACGTCAGGCAGCTCAGAGAAAGCTAACAATTCTTTCAGTCGCCATTGCGGGCAGCTTTATGGCTGGTCAAATGCCCCAAGCCCTGGCATATGCATCAAATTACCAGATTTTTCATGGTCTTTTCGGAGGGTGTCGTAGTTCTCTTGGATGTTGCCCACCTTACAGAATTTACCGTGCCGTAACTAACTGCGTGTGTTTGATCACCTATTCAACTAACTTCTTCCTATATGCCACACTAATTCGTCATTTTAAGCATCAATTGATGAAACAGTTTGGAATTGGCATACGAAAGAAAAGAATTACGTCGGTGGCGCGATACGAAATTACACCAAAACTGGATAAAAACAGCTGTAAAAGAAAACAAGAAACCACTGATGTCATTAGGGTACCTCTGTCTGTTGATACTTGCCAATCAGGAGGAAAAACTCTATCTGCAAGTGAAGCTGTTTTACCGACAGAGACAAACAAGTTGCTTAACAATTCCGATTCCCACTCCTATGAAGACCATGTTTGGAAAGTGAATATTAGGGTATCACCTGAAGAGGGAGAAAGATCAGTAACTCTTCCCAGTGCAACACCAAAGAGAACTATTTGTGCAACTCATTCTCATTCGATTTCGTTACAAAGACCTAAGAGATCTCTGAGCGAATCCTTCTCATCACAATTAAAATTTCCCGCACCTGCTTTTCTATTCTCCAGTGAACCACTTCGTCTCAACTCCATTTTAAAACTCTCAGGAATCAACAATTGATACTCAGACATTATTGAAATAAGCCAAAAACGAGTTAGCAGCCGCTCCTCACACACTTTTACTAGATTTTAAAGCCAAGTTAAGAGATTTTAGTAAAAATGGTGGGATTTTTTTCCTAAAACGAAGATTGGAATAACGGGCCAAAAAGTCCACCCCTTTCTCCCGACACCTTTTGAGGAAAACAGTCTTTTCTTACCAAAAAGTATTACTCTTCTTTTTCTCTCACAGCGATCTCCACTTCCTCCTGCCTTGCTATATTATTATGATAATAACTTAATTGTCGCAAAGCATTACGAGACGCCCTTCTTGTATATTTACTTATCAAGAGACTCATTTTGTCAATATATGTAAATATTTGCTGTTATTTTATAAATAAAATTATTATTATCAAGTGCATGCAGGTTTCGTTGTATTTTTTCTGATGTTAAGCAATGTTGCCTATAAGGAAAATAATATTTTTTTTAATAATTAGTTCAATTACTTCTCCTAATCATTTTATTTATTTCAAATGGCAGGCATTTTGATAGTTATCATTAGCCCTTTAGATGACTTCGGGCTTCCCAGAAGGGAGGAACATTAAAGTGAGAAAAATTCGACAGGTGAAAAGAAGAGCGATTCACAGAGGTAAAGGGGACAGACAGACATAAAGGCAGAGAAAAGGCTAGATGAGTACTGTAGAAGGAGTCGAATAAGACATGGTCATGGTAATTTGAAGTCAGAGGTCAACTGCCGGTTAATTGACTTTTTTGCCGTATGAGTATACGTTGCCCAGGATGCACCACGTGGAGGTAAGTCTATCGCACACTATACTTCTCCTAATCATATATATATATATATATATATATATATATATATATA